AAAAAAAAACTTTACATCAAGTATTTAAAAAATAGAAATGAAAAAAATCTAAATACTTACAAACAATATAAAAATTTATTTGAAAAAACAAAAAAAAGTTCAAAGAAAAATTACTACTCTAACCAAATAAAAAATGCAACTGGTGACATTAAAAAACATGGAATACGATAAAAGAAATAATTGGGAACAAAAAAGTTAAATCAAATAGTTTACCTGCTCAAATCATCATAGACAATATAGAGTATAGTGACAAAAATACGATTGCTGAAAAATTCAACGAATTTTTTGTTAATATTGGCCCTAATCTTGCCTCAAAAATTAAGTCTCCTAATAATTTATTTAAATCATACCTAAGTGATATCCAGAGCGAACTAAAATACAAAGAACGAAACTACTATGAACTTAATGTTGCTCTAAATTCCTTAAAATTAAATAAAACTCCAGGTATAGATGATATCTGTAGTAGGGTAGTGGCAAATGTCTTTACAACAATGAATAAACCTATATTTGAAATTTTTAAGACTTCGATTAAAACAGGAGTTGTACCGGACAAGTTAAAAGTAGCTAAAGTAGTACCAATATTTAAAACAAGTGAATCATACTTAATTAATAACTATAGACCTATCTCGGTACTCCCTACCTTTTCTAAGCTTCTCGAAAGAACAGTCTATAACATTTGTATTGATTGTATGAGTAATTAATCCAAAATAGAATCCAAAATAAAAAGCAATTTGGTTTCCAAAAACAATATTCAACTGAACACGCAATCCTAGATCTAATTAACAACATAAATGATTCTTTTGATAAAAAACAGTATGTTCAAGGCATCTTTATAGACCTGTCGAAGGCGTTTGATACTGTAAATCACAATATCTTACTTAAAAAAATGGAAAGCTATGGGATAAAAAGCATAACCCTTGAATGGTTCAAAAACTATCTAAGTAACAGACAACAATGTGTCTTTTCAGATAATTATAAACACTCAAAACTACTAAGAGTTGAGTGCGGTGTCCCCCAAGGTTTCATTCTTGGACCTCTTCTGTTTCTTCTATATATTAATGACCTTACGGAAAAACTTGATGTAATTATGTTTGCCGATGATACAAACTTATTTTATTCATCGAACTCAATCAAAGGCCCTTATGAATGTATGAACAAAAAGCTTAAAAGATTAAATTAATAGTTGAAATTAAACTTAATTAAAGTTATCACTAAATACACAAAAACCAAAATACATATTGTTTCATTCCAAAAAACAAAAATATAATATACCAACTACCCTTCCCTCGCTAAAAATAGATAAGGTAAATATTGAAAGAACAGAAACAACTAAATTTCTTGGGATACTAATTGACGAAAATATATCTTGGAGAACCCATTTAAGTTCAATTAACACCAAAATTTCAAAAAATATTGGCATACTCTACAAAGTTAAACCTATGTTATCCCAACATAATCTTAAATCGCTTTATTTTTCTTACATCCAAAGTTATCTTACATACGCTAATATTACATGGGCAATTACAAACAAATCCAAATTGAGTACTATTTACATAAGTCAAAAACATGCATCAAGATTAGTTTATAATAAAGATAAACTGATCCATGCTGAACCCTTACTAAAAACTTTGAATGCACTAAATTTTTACCAAATCAACATCTACCAAAATGTTCTATTTATGCTTAAATATAAACTTGGACTAGTCCCATCGCATTTCTTAGATAACTTCTTTCAAGTAAACTCTAATAGGTATATGACAAGAGCAACAGGCAACTTTGCACTGCCCAAAAGAACAACAAAGTTTCGCACTGCCCAAAAGAACAACAAAAAGGTCCGTACCTATATAACAAAATCATATCCAAAAATATAGAACTTAAAGTATTAAATAATGCTGCCAACTTGAAAAATAAATTAAAATACCTCATACTTAATACCAACAATTAAGGTGAGTTTCCACTCATCCGTTTTTCTACGGGAAAGGGAAAGGGAACGGAAAAATAATCACGTGAGCCTGCGCAGTTTTCTTTCGGACAAATAAAAACTTTTATTACGCATGCTCACGTGATTATTTTTTTCTTTCCTATCCCGTTCCCGTTAAAAAACGGATGAGTGGAAACTCGCCTTTATATCGACATGTATTAAACTTAACATCAAAATTTATATTAAAATACTTATGTGTATCACTGATCGTATATTTTTTAACCACTTTTGACTATATATAAAATAAAATAGACTTTATTTAACTTTTTAAAGAGGTATTTGATGATAAGTCTTCATAGACTTCTACGAGTTTTACTTTACAACAATATGTATATATCTGAAGTACCAAAAAAAGTTCTTGTTTTTTTTTTCTTTTCTTATTTTTATTCTATTATTTTTTAAAAATACTGATAACATTTACGATAAGAAACACTATTAATTTACGCTATACTTAGATATACTTGTTAAACCAATTTTTATTATGCTATGTTATAAGTGGTATTATTATTTTATATTTTTACGTGAGATTATATTTGTCACGTAGTTATAACGTTCCGATGTGTAAATTTATTAAAGTTGTAAAAAAAAAAAAATTAATTTAAGGCAATACTGTGCAATATTCAAATATTGTTACAGAACACAGCTATGCAAAAATGAAACCAGTACAAGACAATCAGTTTATTGATTTTTCTGTTCAAGACAATATTGGTTTAAATACTGGTACAGAAACAAGTCTTGAAGAAGTAAAAATAATTGAATCCACATTTAATTCAAATGATGAAAAAATAGTTTTTTGCAAAACTTTAAGAGATCTTCCATTTCCATTTACTAGTTCATCTTTTCCATAAGACAAATATTTATATGTTCTCGCATATTCTTGTCCATAAAATAAACAAAACAAAAAAACTCAAAAAACTCTAATTTATAGTTTTTTGTTCTGACCTTAGAGGAGGCTTATAATGCAAAGCTTGAGGATAGGCTGCAAAGGTAGCTAGTGAAAAAAGAAAAGTTGAAAAACAAAAGATGTGAAAGAAAAAAAAGAAATTTTTGCTAAAAAGAAGCTAGATTGTGTATCAAAATTAAAGAAATTGACAAAGATGAATGGAAAAAAAATGATATATTTAGCAATAGTTTTTTGTAGAGGTTGTTAATTCACTTTAATGATTGTAAAATTAATTTAATTGAACAAGTTATCTTGATTTTATGCTGTGCTTTTTTTTTTTTAATTTTATGATAATAAACCAATTTTCATCTGTTAAATGTGCTTCATAATTTCTGGCCAATAAATGGTTAAAATGACTAGTATTTAATAAAATTGTTAACCATCTATTATCTTCTTTTTTAATAGTTTTGTGTTATTATAGTCACAAAAATTTTTGCTTAGAATGACAGAGCTTTTAAATCTCTAAAAATTGATATATGACATGTAACATATACTTAAGTATTTTTTTGTAACGAGAGTTTCTTGTAAAAGTGTGGCTAGTAATTGGGGAAATTACCCTAATCTATTGTTTTTTATCTTTATGTACGCGTCTTATAGTTGAATTACGTAAAGAACCCGAATAATTTTACCATTTGAACCAAATTTGCATCAAATTTAGTAAAGGTTACTCATATAGACCCGGCATAGATTGGCACCGGTAACTTCTTTACTTGAGATATGTATATTTGATTTGTGAAGAATTAAATATGCCTGCTGATTTGATGTCAATAGGTAATATATTATGCTTCGTGAAGGAATTAATATCATATGGATTTCATCTTTGTGCATCTATGATGCTTATAAGAATTATACCAACTAAATATGAACAGAAACCATGTTATATTCTTAATCATATTCTTTAAAAACTATTGTAATTCGTATCTCCAAGGTCTAAAAATGGAAACATTAAATTTTTTTGAAGTGTTGAATAAAATAGGTTAACAACTAGTTTCTGTTATGCTATTATATTAAGTTATGTTTTGATATTAAAATGATAATACTGCGTACCGTTAATAACATCAAAGTAAAAAGTAGTCTATTTTGAATAACATTTTTATACATTTTTTTTGTTCCTCAAAAGTCAATTTTTAAGTATAATTTTATTCCTCTGCTCGAAAACCTTCAATTTTAAAAGCTGTAAGGTAAGGAAAAAAAGTATTTGGATTTTAAAAATCAAAATAAGTTAAAAGGAATAATCTAACTTTTTGTAAATAATTATCCGCAAATAAAATATAATAGTTAAAATTTTGGATTAAAAATTAAAGAACGCTTTGAAATTTTACGCAGTTTTTGTTGCATTTTAGGATTTAAGATTATTTAACATTGCTTAATTTTGTTTATTATTATTCTTTTATATTTTCAATAGTAATCGCTATATCTTATCTTGATAAATTATAATAAAGTCACATTTAGAAAACAAGAATTAAATTATATTGAATTACAAACATATCTCACTTGCATTTGTATCTTAAATCTTCTTTGCTACTAAAAATACGCAAATAAATAAAATACGCAAAATACTAACTAAAATAACTACTAAAAATACGCAAATAAATAAAATTGTTGCGAGCGCGATGTGATCAAGACATAACCTATTTTTTTGTCTCAAGTCAACCCTATATTTGAGAAAGTGTCCTTCTTTAATATAAGCATAACTTATCCAAGATTTTCACACCCAAATGTTACTTATTTCAAGCAAAAAGCTGTCAGGATCCTAGTAACACATAAGTAGGAGTAGGTACGAAAGATAGGAGTATAATCTATTAAGTGAAAGTAGGAGTAGGTACGAAAGATAGGACCATAACCCTTTAAGTGAAAAACAATTTTTGTTTGTACAATAAGATCTATAAAAACTTATAAATAAAAAAAATTGGCGGAACTTAAAATAAATTAATAGTAAATCATGTAAAATTTTGAACTGTTTTTAAAAATGAACCTTACGCACCACTCAGAACTATATTGGCTATTGTAAATTATAGGGCTGGTTGGATAAGCGGTTAAGTTAAACAGTTGAGTCAAAATAAAAGTGCATAAATCTGAATTAAAAAAAGACAGTGCTTACTTTTTTGATACTTTACGAGTACATACGCACTAAAGTGGACTTTAAAACATATAAAACACAAAGCAATAATTGTTGACGTACAAAAAGAAAATCAATTTAAAAATCTTCATTAGAAATTGCGCGGTTCTTATTCGAAATTGACATATGACATTAAGTTATGTTCTTGATGATTATTTTGTAATTATTTTGATAATTGCGCTCAACACCTAATTGCAGTTCCGATAGCCATAAATGTACCAAAAGTTCCGCCCCCTTGCAACATAACCTTACCAAGACTGGAGACCAATTCTCGACCTCGAAGACCCATTCTAGAAAGAAAAAAAAATTAATTGTAATTTTCGCTTAAAAGTTTTTAGAAAACCGAATATTTTTTAGTCAAGTGAAAAAATAAAATTTGAAAAAAGGCTTTACTTTATAAAAATTTACTTATTATTTTTTGTTAGTCATTTATTGTTTTATTTTTTAGTTATTTAATTATTTTTAAATAGTGATATCTAATTTTTTATAGTGTTATATATTTTTTGTTTTTATTTTCGTTTTAAGCATTTGTTATAAATGTTTTATTCTACCGTGTATTATTATTAATATTTTTTTTTTTTCTTTCTTTATTATTTCTAATTTATGTTGTTCTTTTCTTGTAGTTGTTGATGTTGTTTTTTGCTTTTATTGCCAAATGAACTTAACGTAAATTTTTGTTTAGCTTGTAATGTTTGTTGTAACTTTTGTTTTGCTTTGATTTTCTCAGTATTTTTCTTTTTTGCATTCTATTTATTTGCTTTGTCATATTATTTGCAATATATTTCGGTTAATATAAGAAAAATATATTTACTAAATCTGTATAATTTTAGCAGTGGTTGTTTTCATGTCATCGTTAGTTGTTACGTTTTGTCAGTTTATTACTGTTTGTAACTGTAACTTTGTATGTAATAACGATTGTTGTATGGAAAATTTTACTGATTTATTTAAATTATTTTAATTAGTATATTATTATTACTATTGTTAAAATAAAATGTTATTATTATTATTATTTATTATTATTATTATAAATATTATCTTTATTATTATTACTATTTTGATCGTTATCATTAGGTGTTTACGTGAAGTTAGTAGTTTATACTATTTGTAAACAACCTTGAAATGTAAGACCAAATATTTCAGAAATACATATTGATATTGATTGATATTGATATTGATTGATATTGATTTACTGTAGAAAAAATATGCGGGAAAAAAAGATGATTATAAAAGACTATAGTTGAAGACTTTTATAAAAGAGATATAACGCATAACTTCTAAGCGTAGGAGACTCTAATCTCTTTTATTCCTATTATTTAAAAAAAATAGTTTAAAATATAAATTTAGTAAAATAGAAAGTTTAAACGAAAAATAACAAACTTTAGAGTAAATTTAAACCATAAAATTATCGTATTAATGGATTATATATTATTGTATAGTAATTACATAAAATAAAATCGTACAATTGAAAGGTTTCATTTTTAAAAATATAAGATAAACTATATCATAAAATCCAAAAGAATATATATATATAATTTTAAATAATTAAAATCAAATAAAAACAATATTTTTTATCGATTATCGGCAAAAATATGATATTTTTAAAAAAATAATAATAATATTAAATATTTTTTTTATATAAAAAATCTATTAATCTATTATTTTATCAATTACTCAAGATATTTAAAACATATTTAAAAACAACAATAGTCCATAAAAATAGTGAATAGATTGTTAGGATTTAACTATTTTAACTACTTTAATTATTTTAACAAGGAAAACATTTGCAAAACATTGACAAATTTGTTCTCCCAACAACTTTAGCAATGGAGTGATTAAGATTTATTTTGTGTCAAGCAGACCACGGTTATTAGATTTAAAAGATAAATTTGAGCAAAAGATATTTAAACATATAAACACTAGAATATAAATAAGATAGAAAAGGATTGTTAGAACTTATGAAATAAAATAAAAGATCTAGTAATTTGAAAATAATGAACTTTAGCATAAGACTACCTTTGACTTCTTGCAAAGTTTGTTTAAAAATTAAATCACAAACTGTTTGGATTTGATTTAGGTTTGAGATTGACAAAATCAAAAGTTTTGACCTTTGAGTGAAAACTCAGTAACATGACTATAGATGCATATCATTCAGCATGATAAGGATTAAAGTCACCAATAACAACCATATTGCCAGTGGATCATAAAAAGAACCTGTTCAATTTAGAAACAAAATTGAAATGAGTGCAACTTTTTTAAAAAAGAAGTAGAATAAAGAACAAAGCTGATTAAGTGAATTGTAGCTAAAAAAAAAATTTCAAACCTTTGTGTCATCAACACAGATATTGACACGGCAATTGAATTTTAACTAGTCCCTATAAGCAATATTTGAATTTTAATAGTTGAATTTTGTAAAATTAGTATGAGCAGAACTAAAATTTGAAGATTGAAAATGTTTGTAAAAAAAAAATCGAAATAATTTGATGGTGACGACGCTTTTTTAAATTTTTTCGATTTTAACATTTTTAATTACTATAGCCATTTATATTATTTGAGGTAACTCCAACCTCATTTGTATTATTACCCTTTATTACATTACATACCCTAATAATACATTACCTGTTAATATATATATATATATATATATATATATATATATAATATATATATATATATATATATATATATATATATATATATATATATACATATACGTATACATATATATATATATATATATATATATATATATATATAATATATATATATATATATATATATATATATATATATATATATATATATATATATATATATATATATAATATATATATAATATATATATATATAATATATATAATATATATAATATATATATTATATATATATATATATATATATATATATATATATATATATATATATATATATATATATATATATATATACACATATATATATTCAAAGGGTCTAAGGGGAAAACCAGTGATGTCACATATTAACAATTTTTGAGTTATTACCCCTACTATGTTATAGGTAAGTTAGTGCATCTTTTAAAAGATAAATATAAACAAAAAAAAAGTTAGATCTAAAATTTCATTTGAAAAAAGGGGTCACAAGGGGTAAACCAGATATGTCCAAATTGTTCAAGGGTTAAATCAGAGATGTCCACACGGTTTTTACAACTATTTGCGTAACATCCAATCAAATTTCGTTTTACAAAATAACAAACATTTTATTGTAAAATTGGCGGATAAAAGTCAAAATCCCAACACTACAGAAATTCCAAAAAAAAAGAAAAAAACTTGGTCAAAAGTGGGAACGAGACAGAAATGAATGATTATTTTCGCATACAATGGCCTTTCCGAGTAATTGCAAGCGTTATATGTGTTTTCAGAATACGACAGTAGAAGAGAGAGAGTTTTTATTTTTGCACTTTAATAAAATGAAAAATAAAGATCAACAAGACAGCTTTCTTGCTTCATTGATTAAGGTTTTAGGTGTTAAACGAAGGAGACCTCAACAAAAAGATTTCTTCATGACCACTCATTCTCTTATAACATCAAAGTGACACAAGATAATAATACTGTTAGAGTTCCAGTTTGCATTAATACTATTTAATCAATTTTTAGAATTGGAAAATCAAGAATAGAAAGAATAAGAGGATCTCTTTCTATTTCTTGTAAACAGAAATAAATATTTATTTAATAATTAGTAATTCAAATAAAACAAACCATGAACAAATGTGATTCAACAAAGTTTCTCTCAAAAATAACAACAGCAAAAAAAGATTTTATATGAGCTTGAAAGTTAATAGTTTGGCTTAGTTAAGTTAATAAAACATGTATATTTGATTATTTTTTAAGGAATTTTTAAGCTTGATTATTTTTTAAGGAATTTTTTAAGCTTGTATATTGGATTATTTTTTATGGAGTTTCTCTTAAAAATCAGCAAAGAAAATCGACCTCTAGTTTTTCAGACCATATTGTAAATCATTTAAATATATTGTGATTATATCAAGTCATTTAAAGAATAAAAAAAGTCATTATGCTTTACATGACACTAAAAAGCTGTATTTACCTGAGGATCTTAACTTATCAAAAATGTACAATTTGTGCAAGGAGTGCTTCCCACAGAAAAAAGTTTACCAAGAAAGCTACAGGTACTTTAATAATGTGTGATTATTTAAGAATATTATTGGATATTATCTAATTTTCTACTTTCATTTTTTACCAGGAAAATATTTGTAGAAGTTTAACATTATCGTTGGTTATCCTCGTAAAGATACATGCTCCACATGTGACAAGCTCAATATTATACTTAAAAACCAAAGCACCTCTGTAGAACAACTCATCAAGAGTCATCAAAAAAAAGAGCTTCACTTGCGGAAAGCAGAGATGCTATATGCCAAAAAGAAAGAAGCACGTTGTAATGTAAAAACTGGCAATGCAGCTTTGTATTTGACTTTGCTAAAAATGTGAGTTGTCCTAATGTTTCTACAAACAGTATTTATTATCGTAGACAGCTTTCTATGTACACATTTAACATACACTGCTTTGGATCAAACAGCGCTCACTTATTTTGTTACAATGAAACTTACGGTAAAAAAGGCAGCAGATAATGTAGCAAGCATGCTGGAGAACTATTTTGACTACATTTTACTAATGGATATATTACATTTGCAGTTTTTTTGTGATTCATGTGCTGGGCAAAATAAGAATTCTATTATTATTCGTTTTTTACATTTTAATATAGTGAATAAGAAACAATTTCAACAAATCATACTATTATTACCAATAAAGGGCCACAGCTACATGGAGTGTGACCATGATATGGCATTAGTTAACCAAAAGGTTCAAGCAGAGCTACAAATAAATTGGATGGAAGAGTTTCGTATGTGTTGTAAGAACCCTTCAGCATTTGAAGTTATTAAGATGGAGTTGAACATGTACCTAAATTTTTCTGAACATATCAAACCATTTTTACAAAGCCAAATGTCCGATACCAACATATTTGTGAAATTATTTTCTCCCAAGAAGTTCCTACTATGTTATGATAGAGACTCAGTTGGAATGGACCTTTTGAAAGAGCTGTTATATTAAAAGCTTTTGGAAAAAAGAAGTAATTATCACAAAAATCCCTTACATACTTGTACAATGAGAGACTGCCAGTCAGCCAGGCTTGGTCGGGAAGCGGGTGCGATCGCACTCGATATTTGACCACGGAAATTATATTTAGTTGCGAAAAGCCGGCCAGATTTTTTAGGCGTTTTGAGAACATTTCAAAAACAAGC